AATTGGACGCCCCGTCAAGCAAAGGCCTTCTGAGAACAATGTTCGCGTTGCTACGGGTGCGGCACTGCTAGGTGCTCGCGAGTCCTGCTTAGACTGGGAGTGAAAGTTTTATGCTCTGAGATCATATTCACGAACATAACTAGCCCACGAACCTCTGCCACCCTGAATTGCTCTCGAATATGGAATGCGCATATGTTGTTAGCGATCCTATGACCCATTCGCCATACCGTATGGGGACAAGGTGTGCTCAGTGCTGACCGTTTTACCGACTGTGCTATATATCATGGAGCCGACACAAAGGCTAAACGCACCACAAACGGTCCTGTCATGATAACATCGAATGACATGCGTTAATGCACTGATTACAACCTGAAGGCATGTCTTGCATTTGAGTCGGTTCTCTCTGCAGCTTGTTTCCCCTTCGTTACCTCCCTCCAACACTCATGCGTTGTGACTGCTTTGCGCTCATCGTTGGTGTCGTCGCTGCCTCAGATGATCCGTGTTCTCAGATGTGCACTTACATTAGCGGCTGTGATAATTCTAAATTTGGATCATACTGCAAGTCATGGCTAACTAGTCCAGTGTGCTTCGGTTTGGCAAAGAAGTCTGATGGATCAATTTGCTTCGAGCCAACTGACGCTGACTGCCACGGTGAGCCTATTGCTTGTGGTGCAATGATTACTACTGAGGTTCCCATCACTGAAGCATCTACTACTGATGTTCCTATTACCGAGGTTCCTACTACCGAGGTTCCTACTACCGAGGTTCCTACTACCGAGGTTCCTACTACCGAGGTTCCTACTACCGAGGTTCCTACTACCGAGGTTCCTACTACCGAGGTTCCTACTACCGAGGTTCCTACTACCGAGGTTCATACTACCGAGGTTCATACTACCGAGGTTCATACTACCGAGGTTCCTACTACCGAGGTTCCTACTACCGAGGTTCCTACTACCGAGGTCCCTACTACTGAGGTGCCTACCACTGAGGTTCCTACCACTGAGGTTCCTACTACTGAGGTTCCTACTACTCAGGTTCCTACTGCTGAGGTTCCTACTACTGAGGTTTCTACTACTGAAACTGCAACTACAGAGATTGTCGCAACCACGAGTACAACTAGCAGTGTATCTGAGGGTTTCCGAGGCAATTACTGTGGTAAAGTCTATGGAGAGAGTTTCAGCGTCGACTTTGACGAAAATGGACGCGCTACTGTCAGCGTCCTAGGGCAAAGCGCGGGCGCTGATTATGAAGTTGCGGGTAATGATATCGTCTTCTCCAAGTACGATTCTATGCTGCAACAGTTGATGGATATGTTTCATATTAAAAGTATCAGAGGCACTATCATCAGTTCTACTGAGATCCATATCAAAGCAGGTTTCCTCATCGATACAACTCTTACTAGCTGTTAAGGCTTAATGTAGCCTTTACTCCGCGTCTTTTTTTCGATACTTACCCTGGGACTTGTCTTCGAGTTGTCCGTTGTCTTTCTGATTGGGCTGTTCACTGTCTTAAAGGTTATGCATCAAGTAGTGATCTATATGGTTGTTGAGTTTAATAAGCACGAACATGGTAGAGTAGTCCGAAAAACAACTTGACTGATTATGAGGAGCTTTTCTGCACCGTGCTTAC